TCTGCTGCTGCCTTCTACAACCTCAGCTCTATTCACAAACTGGATGAGTACCAACTGCGACATTCCTTCCACAAGGCATCATTGTACAATTAACTTTGTGGCCTTTGATTGCAACAATGAACAGTTATGTGAAATGATGCTCTCCCAGTGGTCGTGTGGGTTTTTTCTGCAGGTTCTCCAGTTTCTGATGAAGTAGAGCCATGCCTTCCCTTATTTTCCTCTAAGTAATCTGTTCATGGGATTTCCATAAAATGTTGGTTACAGTTGCAAAGAGATGCAGAAGACAGTAAATGCCGCTACCCAAGCTTTAAAAACATATTTTGTCATGTCATATAAGCCTTAATATATATATTTTAAATACTGTAAATAAATTATGAGGGATTTCCCAGAATTTCGATTTAAAGCTTTCGTGACTGCAGGGATTCATCTTCTTGGTTCTTTCGGTACCGAAAGAACCAAGAAGATTTCCCAGAAGTTATAACATATATCCCCAAAGTCACGTCTTAAATTTGTGGATATTAATTCATGAGAATGGCTTGAATCTCATGAATTTGTTTCGATGGCAGTAGCCCTCCAACAACAGGACAATGCCAGACCACACATGAGCCATACGAAATCAAAGGCCATTGCACAATTTGGGTGAGGGTGGTGCACTATCTACCATATAGCCCAGACCAGGCATCCTCAGATTTTCAGCCGTTTCATCCTTTAAAGGATGACCTACATGGGCAACATTTTGAAAAGGACACTGCTTTGCAGCAGTCTGCTCACAAGTGAAATGATGACGTGAATTAAATTACTTTGCTTCCACATTGGCCTTAAGTGCTTGGACAAGGATACAGACCACGTGTTGAAAAACAATAGATCATGACAACCCCATGAATGAAAATACAGTGTAAATTTTTACATGTTTAAATAAGTAAAGATTGAGAGTAAAAAAAAACATTCAACATTACTTTTGGAGCATCTTTTGAAATCAAATAACAATACGCCTGCAAAAACGTCGTATACAGACACTGTGATAAAATATGATTTAGACAGCAACATTTGGCAAGTTATTACTATAGCAGCAACTCTTCCCAGTGCTCGTGCAATAACGAGCGGTGAGGTGAGTCTCAGTGGAACGAGACCAATAAACTACACTGATGCTGCTTATGGCTACGTGGGCTATAGTTTTGAGTGTGGTCGTGCCATCACGATGACTTCATCAGAATATAGTGCTGGTGCAATGTCTGTCCAAGATGCACAACTTTTCCTCGCCAATACAGCAGGACCCATTCTTATTGGTGTCGATATAGGGGGTGCTTTTTGTGAATCTTGTTATCCATGTTTATCTCTGAAATTGACTCATCTTATCTTACCTGTGAGGCCGCAGATAAATATGGATAAACAAAGGAAATTGCCTCCACTTCTGGGTGACTGCTTGTGGCGGGTGTATAATAGGCTCCATGTAGTGTTTTCGAGGACAACTTCACAGCAAAGAGATAACATGAATGCCAGGAGGAAAATGCTGCTCGAATAATCACGGATAGCAGGAGACGGCTACAGTGACACATACGCTATGGATATAAGCGGATAATAGGATTCCTTTTATCTTCATGTAATAAGAGATAATGGGATCACTCAGCAAACAGCAACGGGATATCAACATCATCATTATCAAAAACATAATCAATCCATTATGATTCAATCCATTAATCCACACAGTGACTAATTCTTTCTGCTCACGCGTTCATAATAGGAGTAATTTTCCCACACTATCTGCAAACACAAATGATATAGGAGGAATGGATATGTGGATAATAGGATTTTTGTCTACGGATTTAGGGCAGAGGTAATAGGCATTGCAAGAATAAGGAGTTCAACCGTGTTTTTTGTGATAAATATATCAAAGTGTTACGTGATACCAGTATGAGGATTGTGGAAAAAGAATGGTCATTAAACTTGATCATAAATCCTTGACAAGCACCATAATTAGAGTTGTGGTGCCATGAGTACTTTTCTTTCCATTTCACCTGCAGTTATTCGATTGAGACTGATACATTAATTTTTTATTGCTAATAAACTTCGATGTTTCAATCATCTCTACAGTGACTTAAACAAGCATTTAGTTTTGAGGTTGTGCCAATGCTTTTTTGTGTGTGGATTGTTCAAAGCCTAAGGTAACAAAAATAATTATATCAATTAACAATGAAATGACATAAGTGTCCATCAAAGAAGAAATAATGCCTTGACTGAATGACATCAAATAGTTATGAATTAAGTTACTAATAACAATGATATTCAATATTATTTATAAAATAACTACAGTAATCATAAACACGTATCTCTATGTGTGTGGGGGGAGAGTGGTAGTGTCGTGGTTAGTGGGTCGCGCTAAGAACCTGACGACCTGAGTTCAATTCCCGCTCACTGCCAATACCAGTGACGATTTTCATAACTGGTCCTGGGCCTCCCCTAGGTTGACTCAGCCTCAAATGAGTACCCAGTGCGGTGTGTAAACATCGCCACTTGGGAGACAAAGGCGGATGGGCATGGTGCTGGCTACCCACTCCCTTATGTGCCGTGCTGGCCTTCACAGGTGCTCGCTAACAGCACTTTCCCCAAAATGCTGTTCAGGCTGTTAAGGCTATTACAGGGTATCTTTACCTTTGTACACATACGCACTGCTGCAATACAGTTTATTTAATAATGATGACAATACTCACAATATACTCTGAAACAGTAGACCCCCCCATCATCAGGGTTGATACAAAACAGCACCACCAGAAGTTAGATCAGACGTGCAGGGCAGTCAACATTGGTTGTTTAATGGATAGACTGTCCACTGTCACAGGGACATGGAATTGACACTACGGGTGCAGGACTATCAACAGCAATGAACACCGACTTAAAGCTTTCGTGACTGCAGGAATTCATATTCTTTTGGTTTTTCGGTAAAGTCACGTAGATAGGTTCATGATGACGACCGCTTGTGTTGCGATCGAAGCGTCGTAGTTTTGTTATTTTCTTTTAACCTATCTATCTACGTGACTTTACTGAAAGACCCAACGAATAGCAATGAACGCCATCCACATTAATTGTTTAAGTATAAGTTATCTGCCAGGCTGTACTTTTTAACAACTTAGTTACATCATTTTGGGGCATGCGGGGGTTGTGTTACATGATGACGTAACATAGATTACATACCCCATGTACAGTAAATTATCAGCAAAAATTTGTATTCACATAACTGTGGTGCGAGTGTGTCGGTTTTGCAGCCAAGATGTGTGCACCCATTACGACCCTGCAGAGCCAGGTTCAGATTGGTGGAAAGCTTCCTGCTGAAGTGAAAGTAGTTTTCACAAATCCTGGCTGCATGAAGTTGCTGCAAAGTTTGTGGAAAATTCCCACTGGTAATTCAGCAAAGGGCCCTTGCCAGTCGCCAATATCAATAGCTCATAAACATTTGATACCTTTTGAACATGCTAACCCATGCTGTACACATCCGTGAAGGTGGATATCCATTTTATTTTGTCGTGGCCCATCTCCTACACCAACCTAAGCCTGAACACAGGCCCACTTATATTAAATGTGGCTGAAGCCAATGCAACGTATTTAGTTGCAAGTTCCACTTGCTATTGCAGAAAAAAAGGCTGGCCATTTCTCCAGAAAAAAAACATCGGTAAAAAGACGGGCTTCTTCAAACAAATTAATTGAGCCCAAAATGGTTGTTTTTCAAAGGGGCAAGGTCTATAGTGCAAGGGGAGATATGCATATAGTAGACTCATTAAACACACTAATTGGAGATCGCTTGTGTTTTTTTTTTACAGTTAATAAAATATTCATAATGCTTACGGAGGAGCAATTGGCCCAGCAGGGATGTGGGGAGAAGACTCCAGCAAAGGGGGTCAGAGATGAGGAATGATCTTGTGCAGAATTAAGTGTGGTTAATTGTTTACTGTATGCATTATTTAAAAGTAACATGCGATCAAGAAAGACCAATAATAGGAGTTATTAAGCAGCATAATTTCTGGTGAAGGCATGCGGGTCATGTTAACTTCTTTACCGAAAAATACGCAACAAGTGGGTTCAGTTTGCATCTCTGTAGACACATATGGAACTTGCACATCAATAGTTAACAATTACGTTGATAGTGATTTGAAGAATTGTCACGATTCATGCGTTTTTTGTAGAATACTTTAATATTGTTCTCATTTTTACTCTCCTTTGTATTGTTTATCATTTGTTCTATCTCATTTGAACAGTCTTGTTTACTAAATTATCTAATACTGTAACATTAGCATATGATTTGCATGAACGTTAGCATTTAATTATTTTGATTGTAAAAATGTATTATAACTGTTGAATCTATGAATGACATGCTTATAACATCCAAGGAATATTAGCAAATTCATATGCAGGTAAAAGTAAAACGTACAGTATTTTTTATATATTATAATGGTCAGTATCTGAATCTTTATTTATACTGGAGGACTCCAATGAGCTATAAACCACTTTTTCAAAGTTGTCCAGTAGGGGAAGATCAGAAAGTTACAATAATAACATACAAACACGACAGGAGTGCAAAATATAGGAAAGGTAAGCAAATGACTTAAAAACTAAAACTAAACTATTTGTATTTTACCAGTTGAAGCCCACTGAGCTATTAGATTATTTTTCAAAAGCGACCTGGCCACAAATGATAGCTCAAAGAAGTGGCTTATCGTGTGCAAATTTATAGCAGCCATTAAAATGTGGAGGGAAAAACCAGAGAACTCAGAGAAAAAAATCCACGTGACCACGGAGAGAACGTGCAAACTCAAAATATATAGGCGTCAGGGTTGGGATCAAACCCCGTAAACTAGGTGATGAAGATAACACATACAATAGTATCGTAGTAACTATGCTTCATAATGTAAAATGGCCCCTAGCCAAAGGTAACATGGTGGTGGGGGGTGCTCAGTGTGACACACTAATAACCGGCTCATACCCTGTGACGGAATTGGCCGTTCACTCACCAATCATCTTTAGGCGGCCAAGGCGGTCCATAAGCAGAGCAGAGACAATGTTCCCAGGCAGCACAGCGAGCGAGCCCAGGAAGGAGACGAAGTAGACCCAGTATGCACTGAAGTCGTCGCTGAAGTCAATCTGACAACCCTTCTTGCTGTTTATGAACGAGGAGTTGATGAACACCGTCCCAATGAACTTGAACTCAAACAGGTCTGGTGGGGCCCATTGCGGGTGGGTTGAAAGGGGGTAATAACATTGGCATTAAACATCAAAGACAAAAGATCCCCCGTGTAGCCTTAACAGACTGTTGGGGGGCAAGTGCTGTTAGTGAGTAGCACCTATGAAGACCGGTACGGCACACAAGGGGGTGGGTGGCCAGCACCACGCCCGGCCGCCTTTGTCTCCCTAGCGGCGATGTTTACACATCACACCATGTACTCATTTGAGGCTGAGTCGACCTAGAGGAGGCCCAAGACCGGTTCAGATAATCGTCACTGTTGTTAGCCGTGAGCGGGAATCGAACTGGGGTCGTCAGATTAGTAGCGCAGTGTGCTAACCGCTACACTACTGCTTCCCACTAAAAATCAACACACATACAGACACAAAAAACAAGGAAAAAAATCGCAAGTTACAGTATCTATAAAAATAAACAAAATAAAATGTAATCCAAAAGTGCTCACCACAATGTAACAACGAAAATTTTAATAACACAAAGAGAAAAACAATTATCAATATAAAATACATTTCATTGTATGTCCTGTAAAATGTTGAATGCTGTAGAGTAGGCAGTCTGTGGTAAATCTGACATGCTGTGAACAGTCAGACAAATACAACTTTCCTTTTCTAATGCAGCAAAATCCTTTTTAATACACATTATTTCGTCACAATGCTATCGGAAACAGCGGTACAATGCATAACTACGTATTACCATTTGGTATTTTTATGCAATTTCAGGAATTCCACCGTTCATCTATCTTTCCATCATCCATAGACTACTCTGAGGTAGCCATGGCAGTCCATATGCTTATGAGCCCTTATACAAGTGAAACATTTTTCATGCCGTTCATGCTGTGGACGATCTGAATGCGAGTTCTGACTGCGTTTGTCGTCATCTTTGTTCATAACCATTGCCTAAAAAACTCTTAAATAATGTATCAACATGTAATAACATTCGTTGCAATTTTTTGTTTTTGACAATCAATAATGGATTGTACATTATTAGCTTTTTTTAAATACAAATTAGCTCTGTAAAGTGTAATTTTAGTCCAGGAGATTAGATTAACTCTGCCTTCATCATGATTTCCAGGCAAACGGAAGGAAAACAAGAGGAGTTTCCAGCACAATTCTTTGGCAAATAACAGATCGTATAATAGGGTTTTTCCCCTTTTTTATGGCAGCAAAACTGAAACCTTTTTACAAGGATTCATGTCTGCATTAACCACAATACTTGCAGTCAAAATGCAAAAAAAAACCACTATGATACTATATGCATTGTCCTTGAAACTGATTGGTCCACACCAAGGGACAGCTTTCTTTTTAGCCTCGACCCAATTGGTGCTCGACCAGAGGACGCCAAAAGGCGTACAGCTCAATGACAATGCACTATCAAAGTAGATGCTCACCCCGAGCCCTCATTACTTTGATAGTTCATTGTCTTTGAGCTGTACGCTTTTTGGCGTCCTCTGGTCGAGCACCAATTGGGTCGAGGCTCAAAAGAAAGTCGTCCCTTGGTGTGGACCAATCAGTTTCAAGGACAATGCATATATTATCATAGTGTGTTTTTTGTTTGCATTTTGACTGCAAGTATTGTGGTTAATGCAGACATGAATCCTTGTAAAAGGTTTCAGTTTTGTTGCCAGAAAAAAGGGGAAACCTCCTATTATTATATTTTGGTACTGGAAAAGGAGTTCTAATGATGTAAATAACAGATCGTTAGAATGCCTAACTCGTGACACTGTAAAACTCTACAACATGGTGCCGAGTGGTGCATTGCTGCCTTACCTGTATCAAAAAACTTAGTGCCTTCAAATGTGCAGTTCTTGAAAAAGGTGTTGGTTGAGGTGATGGATTCGAAGGTGCAGTTCTTGAACAACGAATCCTCAAATGTCACCGACTTCAACTTTATGTTTGTGAATCTGTAAAGAAAGTGTGTATCAGTACATGCATTCACAAAGCCACGTGCTGTTGTTTGTAATACGTTCAACAACGCTGTAAACACATCCTGTTCACTCGTTTGCGTAACTGTGGATTTATTGAAAGCTTGGCGAAATGTATTAAATGTGATGAAGATTCCAGTTAAGATTAAAAATAAATGTAAACAGAGCAACAGGTGAGCATATCGAAAACAAGTACAGTACCTCCATTTACCTTTGCAAAACAATGAGTGGTCATTAATGATGAGAGGATCAGTGATGACGGAACTGGAGTGAGAACGTGACAATAACTTAACAACGCACTAACCAGCGTGGTGAAGTATGGTCAAACAACCCCCACGACTGACATGGCTTGGGAAGGCTGTCGTCTAGGAATAGAATAACAAGTGGCCTGTACATTATTCTTCTCATTATCTTATTGAAGAAGCTAACATTTTCGACATACTATACTTTTTATACTCACAAAAAAAACATGTTTGCATTTGAGGGTAGGCACACTCACAACGTGAAGAGATTCGTGGCTTGAAAATTCAGTTAGACATAGGATGGATTGAGAGAAATAAACAAATATCCATGAAATCACCATCGATATTATGAAAAACGAAAGACAAGCCACTATAAAGCAAGACCCACCGATCACTGAACAAACTGCCCTACGTGGTCAAATCAGGCCACGTGGGGCAGTGGTGCTCACAACTCTGCAAAACTATCGCCAGTGGGATCGTCATGAATTAGCCTCACAGAGGTTCATCAACATTGTCTTGATTGTGGCGAGAGGCTTAATATGTAGAGCGATTGAGTTTTCCATGGGGTGAATCGGTTCATCACAGGTGTGTTTCCTAGACATATAACGATGCACAGATTTTATCATTCATGTTAAGTTTTGCAATTGCACAACATGCATTTATTCATGTGAGTAGCGATATTTGACGCAGTTTTTTTTTTAATTTAGATGCCAATTACCAGAGGTGTGGACTCGAGTCATGTGACTTGGACTCGAGTCAGACTCGAGTCATGAATTTGATGACTTCAGACTCGACTTGGACTTGCATAACAATGACTTTGTCCCACCTCTGCCAATTACATGCTAATGTTACATTTCCGTTTGTGGAGTGAACAAAAGTGTACACATGTTAACAATACAAAACTATATAGCAAACATGAGACTCGCATCGTATTTACAGTCTGACACCCTTTTCGAGAACTATCGACCATGGAAGAGCAAGTAACCAGTTAGAATGAGACACTTGCATATTCTAACGAGAAACATTGCCCATCCTTAAACAAGTTCGTAGATGGGTCAATCTTATTGAAATTGATGAACAAAGGCTCTTTACGAATATTTGTTGACTTGATCATGAGAATAAAGAAGGGGGGTGAACATTCAACAGGGGTCTCCCCTCCCCCACACTGCCCCCCACCCCACAACTAAAATCCACCTCCCCCTCAACAACAGCTCACGTCTTAAGGTCGAAAGATACAATTAGCCACCTGACATTTTCAAGTTTTTGTTGTACATTAAGAAATGTAAATTGATATTGAATACAATACAAGCACCTGCTTAAATCAAATAGTATTTCATATGTGGGTGAAATTGAATGCAACCTATTAATATCCTTTGAGAACCTGGTCTGGTGAGAGCTCAGCACAGGACAGCCATAAAGAGGCATTAGAGCTTCTTGTCTCGACATGAAAACAATGTTTTGTTACATATATTTTGCTGAAATAAACTTCGAATTGCACTTAAAGGGCCTAAGTAATACTGACAATATGGTTGCCATTTAAATTTAGAACTGTTGTGGTCGATCACAGTCTATGGTTGATCACAGTCCGTCAAGCTGGGCATGAACATCGCCTATGCCGTGCCTAGTTTGCGTACCACTGGGGTTCGTCCTCAGGCCCTTCAATTTTCAAAACACGTTTCTCAGATCGCCAATGTCATCCCATTGCGTGACATCAAGTTCCATCGGTATGCTGATGACACACAATTGTATACCGCAGTGAAGTCAAAGTTCGGTATTGGAGAGCCTTGGTAACCTCGAAGATTGCTCGTGTGGTTTTCACGAAACAAAATGCTGCTTAATCGAAAAAAAATCTGTAATTCTGCTGGTTAGCACTCAGGCGAAAACAAATATTAGGAGGATCAGGTGTGGCAGTCGCGGATTCCAGGATTGAGTTTTCTACTCATCTAAAGAGCCTCGGCACCATACTCAACTAGAATATGTTCTTTGTTCAAAATATAGTCAAGTTCTGCAATTTTCATATCAGGGCTCTACGACACATTCGGCCACTATTGAGCCATGACATGGGAAACACGGTGGTGTATAGCAGAGTATTGACAAGGCTCGATTAATGCAACTCACTATTCTACGGGACATCTGGTAAAAACATTACCAAGCTGCAGCATATACAACATTCTTTGGCATGTGTCATGACGGGTCCTGCAAGATCTGACCATGTCTGTCCAGTGCTCACTGAGCTACATTGGCTTCCTGTTGCCGAACTAATACATTATAAGGTCGCACTCATTACATCACAGTGATTGCCACAAATGATCACAATACCTTGCTGATCTCGTCAAGAAGCATAAACCATCAAGTGAATTCTGGACATCCTCACAGCGGTTTTTGGCTCGCCATTCAACAAACACAGTCACTGCATCACGCGCTTTCAGATGTGCTTCTTCCGCCATCTGGAATGCTCTTCCTTCCGATATTAGTAAGTCACTAGAACTATGCACTTTTAAATCTAGATTGAAAACATTTCTTTATAACTGCTTTTTGTGTTTAGTTTGTTGTCCTTCCACGCACCACCAATAAGCACGGTTGGCTACATACGGTGCGAAAGCAGTTCAAAATACATAGCAAAGCGTATTCTAAATGAATCATCTCCCGACTGCTTTTGCTTTTGTTATCCATAAAGAATGTTGATCCAAATACACTGTGAAAACATTCATGCCTGTCTCCATGGTCAAGCGAGCAGTGTACAATGATCATCTCTCTCGGTCCTGAGCCTATGGTGAAAATATGCATTCCTATGACAAAGATCAGTTACTTCAAAGGAGAGCAATTGTCCTTAATCATTGCTTTGATGCAAACAATACAGTATAATACTGATGTAACATCTATATAAGGGAGGGGCAATTAGTGCAGTGGTTAGCACACCATGCTATAAATGCGACAACCTGAGTTTGATTCCTATACACAGCTAACATCAGTGGCAAGTGCTATCTTAACCAGTGCTTGGCCGTTACCTTCACTGGCCTACAATGACAGTGTGGTTCAACCCGTGGCCTATACGGCATGGGAGACCTTCACTCAAAAGGGTCGCAAATGATTCACATTTTAAGCACTGCATCTAATGAAGATATGCAGAGAAACGCACGGAGGAATGTAATACAATTCAAGAGGAGCATTATTATTAGATATAAATACTGTAAAACAAAATGTGCAACTCTCATGAATCCCAAAAAATCCCCCATCAAACACTGCATCGTCCTCAGTGTGGTCCAGCTTTAGACACATAATCTGTAAAGCTCTTTATCTGGCTGCTCTCTCATCTACATTTTAATATGCCTCAATAAATTAAAATGTAAATTAGGGTGCGCATAAAGAATTCATGTTTATTTCCCCATGACTACCTGGAAATGAGTTATTATATTAATCTCATTTCCATATCTTGATTATGGAGATATATTATATGCAAATAAACTGCTGTATACATTTGTGTATGTACGAATATATATAGCTATATACATATAATTGAACATATATTACTAATGTGGTCCTGTACAACACTTAAAATTCCTCTCGCTGCCTTTGCACTTAAGACTGCTTTGTGGAGGTGGCTCAGCTGGCAATGGTAAAATGCTGGGTGCAAATCCGTATCCTCAAGTGTGGAGAATTTACGATGGTCTCAGCCCAACAATCACCAACGACTGCAACATCCCATTAAATTCGTTTTTTTTACAATTAAATAAGAAAACATTTCAGCTGTGACAATTAAGCATTACAAATCAGTAGCAGGGTGAGCGAGAAAGTCCTTGGGGGAAGAAAAAAAACCTTCCGTGGGCCATTCTAAAATTCTAAGGGCTTCACTGCTCCTCAACAGATCATCGTGGACAGTTTGTGTCATGACATTATGCTGATACCACACTCCGGATAAGTGTGAGAGAAAATAAATAAATATATACATACTCCTCATTAAGTCAATGTTAATGACTAACATTGTGTTTTAATTTTTGTAATAAATACATGTATTTTGCGTCAATTTAAATTCTCATCATCATAGGCCTGTGTGTCTCGAGAGACAATTCTTTTGCGCCTTACGAGGTCAGCTGTAGGTTTTGCAGCGCCTAGAATGACTTAGTAGGCCAATCCTTGAGTGACAATCCTTGCCACAGCAATTGCAAGTGAATGCGGTGGCAGCTCCAGAGGCAAGTGAATGTGGTGGCAGCTCCAGAGGCAAGTGAATGCGGTGGCAGCTCCAGAGGTATTCATTGCTTTTTCTTTACGTCGCTCCCTCTTGGTCTGCCAAGCGGTGTGGATTTTCTCCTCGCCTCTCCTGATGCCTGTTTTCACAGCCTGCTGCCAGCTGAGTCGGTCGCCGGCAGTTTTCTCCCAGTCATTTGGGTTAATGTCGCAGCTCTTCATGTCCCGTTTACAGACATCTTTGAAGCGCAGGACTGGGTGACCAGTGGCCCATGTGCCTGATGTCAGCTCGCCGTACAAGACATCCGTGGGTATTCTGCCATCCTGTATGCGACGCACGTGTCCAAGCCATCTCAGGCGCCTATGACTGAGTAGAGAGTACATGCTGGGAATGTTGGCCAAGTTGAGGACTGAGGCGTTGGGAATGCGATCTTGCCATCTGATACCGAGGATGCGCCTAAGACATCGGAGGTGGAATATGTTTAGTCAATGTTGTTGATGTGTGGATGTTGCCCAGGACTCAGACCCATAGAGGAGGGTGCTAAGGATGCA